TTGGATTAACTCTTCCAACTCTGACCGCATACGTTGCATTTCGGCCTTCATCTCTTCCTTGTCGGCCTTCCTATCGGCCGCCGCCTTTTCTTGGTAGGCGTCTAATTTGGCCAGCATGATGTGTGCTTTATCTTGGTTGGCCCTCATCACTTTCAGCATATCCTCTTTGTCTTTCTTCCAATTTTCTTGCATGGCCTTCATTACTTCCTGATGGGTTCGGAACATTTCTTGCATCTGCATGCGGTAGGTATCTGCTCTTACTTGGTTTGCCCGAATCTCCTTCAGCATTTCTTCCTTGTCGGTTTTTCTATCGGCGTCTAATTTCGCTAGCATGGCGATTATTTGCTGCATAGCTTGTTTCTCCATTTTGTAGCAGTAAAATTCTCTGAGGCGTATTTAAGCTCGTAAAAATTCTGACCCCAAATTGTCACGTGTCTTGAGTTCGAAACTCGTCGGTCACGTGTGTAAGTCCAAATCCCGTCGGTCACGTGTGTAAGTTCTATTCCCACTTCTGACACCAGTGTAACGTGTTTCGTTACTGAATACGCCGTAGAGATGGTTAATTGGTTTATTTAACAATCTACAAATAACGGCTACAATTACTTATCACAGAGTTGCGGGGTTTCACACTTTATAACCCTAATCGCATTAATCTGTTAACACTGTTGCGGGGTTTCCCGATTTATAACCCTATGCGCAAATCAGTTCACTCTGTCTTCAGTGGTCTACACGTTTACAGTAGGGGAGCTATGTATCACTGTATCACACACTCCCAATTACACAATCATACACACGTCCGGTTCTTCTTTCCGCGACGGCTGCTATACTCCAACTGTAGTCAGCTGACTGGAGAACATTTGATAACACACTCGCTAGTCTACTGCTTAACTCTGCAGTAGCCACAGTACAACTGACTCGGCGACTGTTACTTTACAACTGAAGTCGCCGACTGCTACAGTAGAACTTGACTCGCAGCTGCTGTGCAGCTCACTTATATAGCTGCAGTGCTTGCCTGTTGCGTAATGAGTGCCACGTCACAGTAGGAAGTTGATTACGGGTACGTAGCGTTGCGCGTTACGTCACCGCGGAGGGGTGGGAGGGAGCGCTACGTTACAGCCACGCGCCTGTGGCCTGAGTTGCCACGTTGCTGCTGGGTAGGGAGGGGTTCTCCGTTGCGCAACATGTTACAATATCTTGAAAGATGAGTGGATGAGCACTTTCACAAGTTTGTGAACATTCTCAGGAGGTACTTCTCAATGAAATCGCTTTATGAAATTATATTAAGCTCAGTGTTACTAACAGATCCTTTTGTATGACGACACAGAACAAGATTTCTTGGAAGCGTCACTGCTGGACAGGAGACACACTTCTGCAGACCATCAGCACATACTGTAACTTAATGTAGTAGTTTGCCAGAACATCTAAATCTTACACACATAGAAGTATTTCTGGGATTTCTACTATACATAAATACATAAATAACCTTGAGTGTCTAGTGACGTCAATAGCTTGCATCATGTGTCCAGTATCACACCTAACAAAACGGCCGACAACGATATGTCATTTCATCAGCGTGCTGTCATCAAATTTCTTGTGAAAGAGGAAATCCCTGCTGCAGAAATTCACTAGACTTCAGTGTGCTTACAGAAGTGCAAGCAGTGTTCGAAGATGGGTGAAACATTTTAAGGATGGGAACACCAGCATTAAAGATGAGCCTCGGAGCGGTCGTCCTTGAACAGCCTCAACTGAACGCAACAAGGAAAGAGTGGATGAGATCATTCAAGATGACAGGTGTGTGACTGTGGACACAATAGCCTGAAAACTTGGAATATGGAACAGTGCAGTACAGAAGATGATTGAAAGCTTGAGCTATAGGAAAGTTTGTGCTCATTGGGTCCCGCAATTGACCAAAGACCACAAAGGTCAGCGAAAAGCCATCACCTCACAACTGCTGCAGCGATATCAACATGAAGGCGATGATGTTTTGCTCTGTATTGTGACAGGTGACGAAAGCTGGTTTCACCATTTCGAGCCTGAAACGAAACATCAGAGTATGGAATGGCACCATTTGCATTCTCCATCAAAATAGAAGGCAAAGACAGTGCCATCAGCTGCAAAGGTGATTGGTACAGACATCTGGGATGCAGAGGGGTTTATTCTGGCCAAATTCCTGGAACCTGAACAAACCATCAATGCTGTTCGTTATGTCCAGACGCTGCACAAGCTCCGTCGTGCATTGTGCAATAAACGTCCGGGACAAAACATCATCATCCTGCATGCCAACGCTCGCCCCCATGCCGCTCACCTCACATTGGAAGCAATTGCAAAGATGGGGTGGGAAGTTCTTCCACACTCCTCCTATACCGCTGATCTGGCACCCTCCGACTACCATCTTTTCAGATTTCTGAAGGATCAGCTACATGGACAACACTTTGACATAAGGGAGGCAATTCAGAAAGCAGCGCGTCAGTGTCTTCAGATGGCTGGAACAGAATTTTACAGAAGGGGAATTTTCAAACTCCCAGAACGCTGGGAGAAATGTGTACAAAGAAGTGGCGATTATTTGAAAAAATAAAGAAAGGTCTGTAGACTGAGGTGGTGTATTTGGTTTGTCAATAATAAAGCATGTTACTTTACAAAAAATTGTTGCTCACGACTTTCAGTATGACCCTCGTATATGGTCATCAATATGATGTATTTCTGTTCACGTAATTGTATTATGATAAAGCATCAGTTACAGATGATATGTAGCAGATGAATATTAATAATGAATTTTGCGATATTTGGTAGTGATCGTTGCTTCTTTGAAGTTATTATACCAACATATGCCTGGAGAAATTAAGGAGAGCCATGAATGCCTAAGTCAGAATAACCAAAATTTTAAATTGGTAATATAAAATGTGAGAAAGGTATACCAACGCTATGTCAACTGATTCATGGGACCAAGGAATCTGCACCATGTCATATCTCTGTCACTCCTGTAGTTTGTGTGAATTCTAGAGAACAAATTAATCCTCAATTAAACTGATGAGACAACTGGATAATGCAAATATGTATCTACTATTGAAGAAGATAAATCTATACAACACGCCGCAAATGAGCCAGTTTGTTGTACCATGGCATGTGCATTCTTTGTTACCACCATCAGCTGGTAATAACTGATTGTGTAAGATTAATGTATGGAATACTACAATAATATTAATTGAGCATTATTGGCTATTATAAATGATAGAAGAAATTTTATCACCAAAAGAGTAAACATTTTCATGGGTTAGTGCACAAATTATTTAATGATGCTTTATCAGTTATATTTGTTATAGGATGTCAAAACAGATGGGAGAATAATTATGTTCACTGAACTGAAAAGGAAGCATAAAGAAGTGACTGCAGTACTATCCGAATACTTCATTGAGGGAACTGAGGAAAATCAGAGAAAGCTCACAGTCAAGCTATTGAAATCTACAATTACCTATGCTAGTTTAACATATTACGGAAATGTAAGCTGTGGTACATTCTCTGTGTAAAAATATATCAGACAAAATCTCATCCTACCAAACTACAAGTACTTTAGTACTTTTGTGTTGCTGGATTCAACGTTCTTAGAGTAGTGACTGATTCCAGTGTAGTCTCCTTGTGTGAGGTTAAGGTAATGGTATAGATATCCCTGTAACAGGCTCTGGAGACCCATTGGGTTGTGAGACATCAAGGATCCCACATTTTCTAAACAGCTGGCTCACAGATGGCGGTGATGTTATTAGCTTTAAGCGCCGGCTGCCCTTTAACACCCCAGGAAGACTTCTGGTACTCATTTATGTTAGAGGCTGAGTCAATCCCAGGGTCATAGTGTGACTGGAAGGATTAGCTCAACTGAAAAATCCAATGACCTCACTGGGAATTGAACCTGACACCATCCACCTTGTAGCATACTGCCTCACGCAAGCTACCGCATACCGTTCATGTGAGGTTAAGGTAACAGATATTTAAAATATGCATGGTGAAGACAACAATATATTTAAACAGAGAGTTAGAAAAACAGGAATTCATGACACTGAACCTTGAAGTTACTTCTGTATTTCTCTAAACAAAATGAATCAATAGCAAATTAGATCAGGATGGGTTAGTTATACTAGTTCAAGTTAAGAGTAAATAACTTATGAATTCTGAGGACAGGGACAAGTGGAAGGGTCTTGTGAACATGGCAATGACCCTTCAGGTTCCATAAAATATAGGAAATTTTCTGAGTTGCTGAGCAACTACTGGCTTATAAAGAAGGGCTCTGTTGTATGGTGTTATCAGTAGTTACTCAGTGACATGTTGGAGGTCATGTGGATGTATGCTACAGAAGTTCATTTCCATTATTATCTTACTGAAAAACTGTTTCCTACATCCTTGCATGATGTGTCAGGAGCAAAATACATCAGTAAGTTTGTGTACCCTTGTTACCATACATAAAAGCAATTTCAAATGTTTTTGGACACTAACTGTTCAGAATATTCTGAAGATGCCAAATTAACATTATAAGGTTCTGTTTTAAGCTGAGATTAATTGGCATTAAATCACTGACAATTTATTAGTGTGAAAGTGAAGTACACATGGCATCTATCATAACACAAATGTATCAATTTCACTCCCAAAATTCCCTTAAGAAACTCCAGAGCATAATGATTATGAAGATTGTACATATTCTGAGAGTTTTCTTCCCATCCACATTAAAATGAAACTAACCTCTGTCTTTTTTGAGAAAATGTGTTTGAACAATAATACTTGCAACTATGGTTAGAATCTGTTCTGTTCGTTTTACCATACTATCTGATGAAATGTAACAAGACCAATCTACACAATAGCCATTTAAATTAAGATTTGGTGTTCAGTCATATTTACTATTAAGAGTATAAATAAAGTTGGCAACCGTGAGAATCATAAAATAAGGATAAACAAGAACGTATTTATCACAATAGGCTTGGTTTTGCATGAACGCAAACAATATATTAAAAACTCACCGGGAAAGCCCTGATTCGCATCTTCCCCTCCTTTTTCGGAAGCCCGCTTTTCATCATTTTGACTTTCTTCTTTTCACACTTTTCAGCTGAACAATCTCTTCTTGTCATACGGCTTTAGAACACTATCATCTGTTTACGGTTCCCCACCTACCGAGCCATGGAGTATTGGAAACAAAATATTGAGACTCATGAACACTGGAATAATTGAATACGGCCAAAATGGAAAAAATATTGCCACAATTATATTATTTTATTGCAATTTTTAACACCACTACCTTCTTCCACTCACGGACAGACGACAACCCGATAGATGTCGACGCAACTTCTCCGTACGAAAAGTAGTTCCGTTGTGGTAACGGATACGTAGCACGAGGCGCTAAATATAGACGTTGTATAGCAATGTCCGCATACTTTAAGCGTCCGAAAATTCTGAGTATTGTGTTTGCAGTTCTGTCGTACCTAACAAAATAAAATATGCGAACAGATACATTAGTTATTGAAAGTAGTAGCGTACGTCATGAGAAGTAAGATGGCGTTATATTGTTTACGTGGGGCTGTAAGATCGAATTATATACGTAGGAATTATGGCGTTTGTGGAGTGCAACTTTTTAATCTATATTCAACAGCAGCGCACACTTTAAGAGTGAACCAGCAAATCAAAGAAAAACGGAAAAGAGCTTTATTAGGTGGTGGCGAGAGTAGGATTGACGCTCAGCATAAAAAGGTGCCTAATTAAATAGTAATCGTGGTCGTTGTGAATTTTGTTATGTCGTTCTTATTTTGTAATACAGAAGTAGAGAGTTCTTCATTGAGTCTTCATAGTTTTATTTGCTTCTAATGATTTATAAGATACTAATTTAGAACGAGGGGACTGTTGAGGAAGACTGAAGAATTTGCGCGGTATGAGAGTTCGCAAATGTGAGAGCTTGTATTTTACAATATAAGCTATAAAATATATGTAATGGGGCCAGTCTTCACAACAAATTTCCGAAAAAGCAAAATAGATGCTTCTCTATCAACATATATTATTGACTGTACCGTATTTTGTGTTACTGTCGCCTCTACGTGGATGGAATGATAAGTAAAAATCAGTGTTCAATCTAACCCTGCTTTAATAAGACTAACTTTTGATACACAAAAAGCGTTTTATATATATATTCACACACAACAATAGAGAAATTAGGAACAGCGCATGTAGCGCAGTCTGTTATTGAAAATTGTTTACTACGATGTTGCCGACTCCAGCATTATATTTTAAGATTAGAGAGTTGCCAACATAACACTCCCCGTTAAACAGTTTTGGGAATTTAAAAAATACTTACTTATTAATCAGTATATCAAAAAAATTATTATTTAAAACATTATTGGGAAACATTATTCTTAGCATAATCCAAGTGAATTAATAAAATCAGTATGTTTCTGTACATTTAAACCTTTCGTGTAACCATCAGCAACTAATTTATTTCCAGGAATGTAATGTACTGACAATTCCTTTGATTCAGCCCTCTCTCTTACAAACTGAACTCTTATGTCAATATGTTTTGTTCGGTTATTATTGACAGGATTTTTCGCTATAGCTAAAGCACCACGATTATCACAAAAAATAGGAATAGTGATTTCCTTGTTACATATTTCAAATCATAATTTTCTCAAGAAAATGGCTTCTTTCGCTGTCTCTGATAATGCCAAATATTCTGCTTCTGTGGTTGACAAAGCTACAGTCCTTTGTTTTTTACATTGCCAACTGATAGCTGCTCCTGATAGTTTGAACACAGATTCACTAAAGGAACTCCTTTCAACAAAACCCAGTGCTCTCTCATGAAACAAGTGTTAAATTGGCTCAAATAAGTCATAGCAAAAGATATATCAGGGTGCGTGCATACAGCTAAAGACATCATTGAAGCTACAGCTTGTTGATATGGCACATCATCTAGATTCTCAATCGATTTATTTGATTTAGGCAACGGTTTCAATTTGCTATTTGGTTCTATTGGATGACTAACTGGTATAGTCTCATTAGGAATATTAAATCTCTTAAGAACGTTGTTCAAATATTGAGTTTGGGTTAGCTTTATAATATTCTTTGCCCTGTCTCTGCTCACTTCCATTCCTAGACATTTCTTAACTGGTCCCAAATCCTTGACTTTAAAACATTATTGCAATTTCTTATCAAATTCTCAATTTCAACATTGTCATTATGAAATATGAAGAAGTCATCAACATACAATGCTATATTAATTACAGAATTACCAATTTGTTTGGTATAAATACATGGTTCAGAACAAGTTTGCTTGTACCCTAGGCTTTTCATAACCTCTGTTGCTTTCTTATTCCATGACCTAGCGGCTTGTTTTAGTCCATAAACTGATTTTTTTAACTTGTAAACTTTATTAGACTCCCCCTTAATATCATATCCTTCAGGAAGCTCCATATATATAACTTCCTCAATATCTCCATTTAAAAACGCGGTACAGACGTCAAGGTGGTCAATGTTCCAGTCATGCTTAGCAGCTAAAGCAAATAACAAACGCACTGATGAGTGTTTCACTATGGGAGCGAAAGTTTCAAAATAGTCTGTTCCCTTTGTTTGGCTACAACCTTTCGCCATTAAACTTGCTGTGACATGCAATATTTCCTTCAGCATCTCGTTTAATTTTGAAGACCCATTTTGACTTCACTACTGGCTTATTTGACGGTCTGTCTGCTATTGTTCATGCTTCGTTTGTTTGGAAAGCGTCTTATCTCCTGCTGAATGGCTTCTTTCCGTTTAGATTTATCGGAGCTTGACAGTGCCTCTTCATATGTGACTGGTTCTGACTCCTCATCTTTATGCATGGCTAAGTAGGTAATAAATTCTGGAAATTCTTTCTGTTTCCTGTTCCAAAGTGGATATCGTCTTTCTTCCAAATTTCCTGGTAACTGTTCCAAGCCGTTCAGCTCTAATGGAACTTCATTTCCTTCATTTTTTACTTGTGTTTGTTCTTCTTCAGGGTTTTGTTCTTGCAGAATCAGTCTTTCATCTTGTGGGTCGAGGTAGAAATTTGACAACTCTGGAAGAATCTCTTTAAGCTGAAATCCTTTCTCACTCACTTTCTTGTTTATTATTTCTTCCAGAAATTCTACATCTTTTGCCTTAACTATTTGACACGGATTGAGGGGATCTGATAACCGATAAGCTTTACTATCCTCACTACATCCCACAGAAATGTATTTCCTGCTCACAGCATCCAATTTTTGTCGTTTCTCTGATGGTACATGAGCATAAGCTGGACATCCAAAAATTTTCTCCTGTCCATATTTCTTCAGGCAATTGGTTCTTTAGTTTCTTGTGAGGTGTTCTGTTCAAAAGATATACTGCTGTTTATGCTGCTTCAGCCCAGAATCTTTTGTTGCAGCCAGAATCATACAACATACATCTTGTTTTTTCCAAAATACTGCGATTAGCTCGTTCAGCAGTTCCATTTTGTTGCGGATTATATGGAACACAGAATTCTCTTTTAACTCCCTTTTGTTTTAACATGTCATTGAATAATTTGCTGCAGAATTCACCACTATTATCGGAACGAACAGCTCTTATTGTCAATCCAGTTTCTGTCTCAACCATTTTCATAAATTCTTTAAAAGGCTTCATATGTGTCACCTTTTTGTTTCAAGAAATGAATGAAGATGCTTCTACTATGATCATCCACAATAGTCAAGAAATATTTAGTATTCTCATAAGAGGGTACTTCAAATGACCCAACCAGATCTAAATGTAATAGATCAAGTATCCTTTTTGACCGTTTGTTCTTTGATTGTAGGAAAGGCTTCTTTGTCATCTTGCCTTCCAGGCATGGAACACATTTCTTTGACTGATCTTGTTCTTGAAAATCAGTGCCACTAGCTAAACCTTTTTTAAGCAACCGCATGCTAACCCTATTTAAATGCCCCAAACGCCTATGCCACAACAGTTGTTTGTTAATTTGCTGGGTACCTGCAACTTGTTCATTCTTTAGAATATTAGTACAAGATTTCTCACATTTGTCATTATTCTCTTTGGTATTAATCTTATCTTTAGTTGCAGTATTTGCAGATTGGGTCAAGTTAGCTTTGGTATTTAAACAATAAATCCCATTTTTGGGATATGCTTTGGCAAGAACTTTGCCTGGTACCTCAAAATCATATAAGTTGCAACAGTCTTTTGTGAATAACATAATCATACCCTTGTTTACAATTGAGTTCACAGATAACAAATCTGTAGACAATTTTGGTACATGCAAATACATCTGAGATATGGCTGAAATTGTCATTCACAAGTTTTACATCACCAAAACTTGCACTGGTTAACATGTTATCATCAGCAACACTTATCTCATGTTCCTTAGAATCATATGTTTTATAATTTGCAAAACAGTCTTCTTTCCGGTCATATGGTGTGAAGCACCAGAGTCTATTCCAAGTGTCATCCTTAATTTTAACATGATAGGCAGATACCACATACGTGGATTTTTTACTGGTCTTATTTTCCCATTTATTTTCATTATACCTTTGATCGGATCCTTCTTTATTTTCATCAGTACTATTAACTGATTTAGAAGACTGATTTCCCTTAAATTTTTGGTTTTATTATTGTTGTGATTACTATTGTTTGCCTTATCCTTATCTTTAAACCAACAGTTTTTGTTTATATGGCCTAGCTTGCCACAAATTTGACATTTTGGTGGGTTACGTTTAAACTTATCTCTGGACAGAAAGGCTGAATCTGAATTTGCATTTTTACCAAATTCAGCGTCTTGCAATAGCTTAGATTTAATGAACTTACTAGTCAAAGTCACATTGGAATTTTCAAGTGCCATACACATGGGATAATACTCTTTAGTTAAACCCTTTGACATTAAAGCAGCTAATAGCTCATTTTCTGTTTTTTTTTGCCCATTGAGACTAAGATTTATTGACATGAAGGCATTGACATATTCCTGCATACTTTTATAGTCCTCAAGTTTCAAAGAGCACAAATCAGTTAAAATACTTATGCAACTATTGACACCCTGATCTTTGAATGTTCTTTCCAACGCATCCCAGGCTTCCTTTGCTGTAGTTGTCTGGACAACATAAGATTTAACTTGGGGCTCCAATGTCAGAGAAATGATGGCTCTGGCTTTCTCGTCCTTTTTGACAATAGAGAAATTAGGAACAGCGCATGTAGTGCAGTCTATTATTGAAAATTGTTTACTATGACGTTGCCAACTCTAGCATTATATTTTAACATTAGAGAGTTGCCAATGTAACATTTTGCAAGGTAGAGCGCAGTGTTTTACATCGTGCCATCATTGAAGTATGTGGTATATCGTAAATGGTGCTATATAACTGCTACTTAGCAACGACCTTCACACCAGTATGCTAATTTTAACTGCACTTCTCTACGATTGGTGTTATCCTCGAGAAAAAGAAAACATGGATAGTAGCTGTGGATTGAATGAGTGAGAAAATATTGAATTGTGGTTGGGATGGAACCCGGAACCCTTCGAATATGACAGTCATATTCTAAGCATTAGGCCACCTGAAAGTGTAAGAAATGTCGTTAAAATATATATATGGAAACCCGCCATTTATTTTTTTCAGGGAAAATTAACAGCTCGGGAAAGGATTCATCTTTTATGTGACCCAGGAAGTTTTGTTGAATATGATATGTTGGTAGAACATACTTGCTCAGATTTTGGAATGGAAAAACAAAAGGTAAGTGTTGTGGGAAGGTGATCTGCCCATTAGCCACTAATTTTGCCTGGTTGTTAACAAGTGTCAGAAGCAAAAAATCCTGATCAGTTACCATGCTGGTTAGGAAGATACTCGTATGAACAAGTTCAGATATTTTGTTATGCTGACTTTGAGAATAAAGTGAAGTACACAATGACATTCTTATTCTGAAATGTAGCAACAGTTGTGAATCAATTTCTTATTGTACTTTAGTGTTTTAGTTGAAGGTTTGGTGTAGAACAACAGAATTCGCTGATTAACTATTGTAAATGCTGATGTGTTTCAAAGTAAGACTGTCATAACTATGCATTTATCACTGTAATCGAAAGATGTTCCTTTTTCTACAACTGCTCCTATGATATTGTTGCTGTGAAATATAGTAACAGTTACAGTTCAGATTTTTATTGTTGATAAAATTCACTGATTGTTGTAAATTTTATATATTTTAAAGTAAGAATGATATTTGTGCATGTCGCTATATTCCAAAGATGTCCCCTTTTTGCATTACTAACATATTAAGTTTTGGAAATGTAAATATGTATCTATTGGAAAAGTGACTTGAGTAATTCATAAAGCATAAAACCCTCCTTTACACACACACACACACACACACACACAAAATGTGATCTGTTTGAATTTGGTGTTTGTACCACACACGCTCAGAAATGGTTACCCATACTGATTCAGTCATTATTTAAACACATGTTTTCATTGCTGTATGACAAGATATTATGTCCCTGTTAGGAACTTAAATCTCTGTTTTAAACCATAGATTTACAATTTGCTTTACAGTTAAAAGAAGACAAGATTGTCAGTCTGTGTTCTGGTTTTTAGATGCTTATTTTAGATATACACAATCTTTATATTACTGTATACTAGTCTTTATTTCATTTTATTATATAATTAATGTATGTTATACAAAACTCATTAATGACATTGTGTTTTAACTATTAAATTTTTAATTAGTAGACTTGTATAAAACTGTACAAATTGTATAAGGTTTGCATTACTTTTTCTACTAAAATTAACTATTGTATTTTATACAAATGTGTATGCTATTGGATGACGACTGTAATCCTTAGTTGTGACTGTAACTAAGACGATCTCCACATTCACATGAGAATGTACTCCCGACAGGATTTATGGAAGGTGAATAAATGAAATGAAATGATAGAAATTTGTATTTCGCATAGTGGGGGTTGGAGTCCAACTGGGTCCACTCGGCATGGCGGCCACTGATTGGTCTGCCCCACGTGATTATGATGGAGAATTTGGTGGAATGAAGATTGGCAGGGGAAACCGAAGTACTCGGAGAAAACCCACTCCAGCGCCACTTTGTCCACCACAAATCCCACTTGATCAGACCCGGGATCGAACCCAGGCCGCTGCGGTAGGAAGCCAGCAGCTAACCACTTGAGCTCTGGCGCTGCCTATGTTATGGCCATGATCAAATATACTGCCAGGTAGCAGTAATTTTTATATAAGGTTGTTCTAAAATGTGATACAGTTGTGTCTGAAGTAGAAATGAATTTAATATTGTAATAATACAGTATGAAACATAAATGTATTCTATTTTAAAAAGAGAGACACCGTTTTTTCTCACTTCTAGCTGATTTTATAATGACATAATTCTAATATAATATTCACAGTGTTATAATATGAAATCTCATATTCCTAATCACAAGTGTGCTTCACTTTTGTCTCTTATGTGGTTTGATTGGAAAGTAACAGGTAAAAGGTAAAGTTGTCCCTGTTCCTAAGTAATTAAGCACTGTGCCATGAAGGAGTATGGGGGAGTGGATGTGTAGATCCACATTTTCTTGACCTTGGCACTAGCTGCAGGTGAGTGATCAGCTTCACTCCCAGGCCCCTTTACCAACAGGGAAAGAGCCCCCAGTACCAGTACCCATTGGATAGGAGGTTGGGTGGACCCCAGAGCGAGTCTGGATGACATGGAAAAGAGAAAATTCTTGACCCTACCAGGACTCAAACTCCAGCCCATAACCAGTTGCTATACCGACTACCCTATCCCAGCTCCAGGGAAAGCAATAGGAGCAAAGAGAAATTATGGAAGCGACTTGCTGTAGTTTATTTACTGCCCTTCAAACTACTCTCCATGCAGTTCAGTACACAGATGTTATTTTGTTTTCCAGTTATCAGACACTTTTGAAAACTGCTGTCTGATATATGCTGTTGACTTTACCTGTTAGCAGTCTTCTTGAGGTTATTATTGGATCAAAAATTGCAGCCTTGCTATCATTTTGTTAGCTTCTAGAACAGATGTTTATATGGAGCTTCATCTTGAACTGTGGTAAATGGACTATGATGTTAGTTACTGATTATCTGTTTGTTGTGCAAATTAACAAAATCCAGATGGGTTAGAGAGCTTGTCAACACATTTGGATGACTCACAGCATGTACTTTGACCACTTGGTATTTATGGTTCATGCCAGAACCTTGGATAATATTTAACATGCAAATTTGGAGACTCCCTGGGCACTGATACAGGAAACTTTGGAATTTAAGTTCTGATATTATTAGTTTATTTAATGATACTGTCCATGGCTCATATTATTTAGCCTCGGATGGTAGGATTCTTCTCCCCTCCCCCTCCCTCCTACCACCACTTGAGTATAGAGCATCCGAGAAACACTTCATATCACTTAAGTTTCTTAATCTGAGACAATTGGTAGGATTCCTTGGACGGGGAATCAGCCTGTTGCAAGGTCGCTACCTAACATAAACATAGAATAAACACAGACAGGCATCAATGCTTTGAGTGACATTCGAACCCACAATCCCAGTGTTTGAGCGGTTGAAGACATTTTATGCCTTAGTCTGCACAGCCACTGTGATCGGGAGTAGAATGATTAATAATGAGTGATAAATTTGGAAGGGTGTGGGAGGAAGGGGCATGTCTTTAATTTTAAGTTGTCTTTCAGCATTTGCTGGAGGAACTCAGAAAAACAATTAAAAATCTCAAGTCTTTGTAGCAGTTTTCCAGCTGAAATTTGGACCAAGCATTTCCTAAATATAATTCAGAAGTATTATCATTTGAGGCAGCTTATTCAATGATAAGAAAGAGTGGCAATGCGATTTTCTGTAAGGAATTCTTTGAACAAGACACTGGATATAAGAAAGGCTTTGTTTCTATTGTAATAAATCACTTCATAATCTCTGCCCAGAATAGTAGTCCAATACTCACATTTGTTAAGTCACAATTCCTCAGAACAGTTCTATTCCACCAACAGTATTGTAGAATGAATAAATATCTTTCAACATATTGTTCATCATTTCGTATGTTCCTTTACATGTTATCATCTATGCATGCACCTCCACCCCCACCACCAGTTTTATTAAATATCATTGTTCCAATCATAAACCTAAGCTGGATATGTGACACACATTTCAGTACAAATCCTAGTTGGCAAAGTGATACAAGCATGACAGATGTGTACAGAACTGGGATGTGAAGTAACAGGTTACAGTTTGCAGCAAATCAGTATTTCGACTGACTCTTGAGAAGAAAAGTGGAGTCCATTATTTTCATTCTCTCTTTATAATGAATTCTGACCTAGAAAACCGAAATTAACGCCCATCGGGATTCATTGCACTGACCCTCTGTCTGCTAAAGTTGACACTAACTTTGCCGACAAGTGGTGGTCGCTCAGTCAGTATAGTTTGCTTGCAGACTAAAATCACGGAGTTTGTTTCTTTTTGTCTTTATAATGAATGAATGTACTCTTTTCATGAAGAGGCTGTGCTACATCAAGTTGCTCTTTATTTAAGGAATTAAATAATTTAAATAATAATAGAAATTCAGCGAGGTAATTATAGTTATTCTTGTTATATTATTTGACATGAAATACAATTTTTGTTTATTTGTGCTCCCTTGCAGCAATAGAAGAAAATGAGATCCCATTCCTTAACCTTAGAACATCACTGGAAACCATTTCATTTATTTATGCAGGAAAGAATGTTAGATAAGGGAGGGAAGCTATATTGACTTTCACAATGCACAGTTTTGCTATTTTAAGCCCCTTTTCTGTTCTCTTTTATTTCCTTGTCATCAAATTTTTTTGTCCTGTCTCACTTCTGACAATTCAATTTCCCTCCTACAGTGAAAAATAAGTTCAATGGCCATTGGCCTGCACCAGGCTGCATTTCCTCTACACATTTCAGTGCTAGAGATGGAGGCAGCGTGCTCCTCCGAAATACTGGTATCTGCCAACAAAATTACATGGTGTCATACCTTAGAAAACCATAATCAGAACAACCACTGCTGTGAAGACCTCAAAACTTGCATCTGCTCATACTGCATATCCATACCATTTAAATAAAACATACTTTCTGCTTGTTTAGTATCCTGGTGACTCGGTCATCACAGGCCATGGGCTTATCAATGGACGAATAGCTTACATGTTCAGCCAAGATTTCACTGTGTTTGGGGGAAGTCTTTCCAGCATACATGCAAAGAAAATCTGCAAGGTAAGGAGCTATGTGAATATACACACTTACCAGAATATTGTTTTATGCGTATACAAGAAGTTCTGGGAAGAACTGAACACCTGCTTGCTTTCAAGGGCCACATGGGGGGGGGGCACAGGCCGCAGAGTGATCTCGTAAGTGTTCTTGATATGACAGACCACATTGAAAACAAAACAGTGAGGGAGGGACCACGTGGGCAGGATAAAGTACCAAAACGTTGTGTGTGTGTGGGGGGGGGGCATAGAGACAGCAAAGTACGACATAAGGATGACAAATCCTGAACAGTTTTAATATTTTTAATATTTAAAATTTATCAATATATATGATGAATATATATTTTAGTATAAAGACAACAGGGCATGCAATGAAGTAGTTTGACATACATCGAAAAGCACCTGAAGATGGCACTTTTGTGCTGAAACATGTAGTGCAAGAGAGAAGAGTAAGGTGAATAAATGTATGCACTGTAAGATGGATAGAATAAATCATGGACAGCAAAGTGATCTCATAAGGCTCCTAACAAAATTAAGGGGGATACACAGGCAGGCAGCAAGGTGATCTCACAAGATTTTTTTTTCTAGTAATGAAGTAGGCTACAAGTATTATGTTTTTGGACATTATCCATCGTCCTGTCTATTTTCTAAAAATCATCCTGTTTATTTTTAAAAACAATGTTTCGGAGACTGGATTTTGTCCCCGTCCTCAGGTAAAACCTACTCATTTGGGTCCGATAGATACTCGTACAGCTAGTCCCTATCTCCGGCTAATAAGTACAACTTACCTCATTCAAGTGTGTGATCTGGCATGTCATTGTTGAAGGTTATGGATCAAGCCATGCTTGTTGGAGCCCCTGTTATTGGGCTGAATGACTCTGGTGGTGCTCGTATCCAGGAAGGTGTTGAGTCTCTGGCTGGCTATGCTGACATATTTCTGAGAAATGTACTATCTTCAGGAGTCATTCCACAGGTATTGCTGTCATTCATGTGTCACAAAACACGCAGTCAACATGAGGAATTACATACAGCGTATTTTAGCTGTTCCACATATCTGTTGAGAAATGGGGTAGAGAGGGATGTCCAGAGGGGCACTAATATTTACATTTATCCATTATTTCATCAGTTATTGGAACATAACCTGTCTTTTCTTGGAATTAGGTTTAACATATTGGTCTTTTGCTGCAAACTAAAATATTCTCACTAATGATGTTGACTGCGTATTCCCTGTCACTGTCATCACAGTTACAGCATTTGCATCCAAATCAACATTATTTTTACAGTTAATTCCATGATTACTTTGATACATACAATAAGCAGCTGTGTGTACTCCATCTTTGAAAAGAGTGGCTTCACTTCAGTTTAGTTTCATTGTTTCTGATAATACAGGCCATCTAGTTGGAAAATTCTATGAAATTGAAAAGAGGTCAGTTTAGTAAATGAAAAATAAAAATCAGTTCACGTACTATATCATGTACAGTTGACTTTGATTACATTATCTTGATATAAATCAGTTGTTGCTCAGTAGAGCATTGTTGTTTACCAAGTACTGAGTAAACAGTGAAATCTATCAAAAGAGTAAAGCCACTTTTGACAAAATCGTCATTTTGCATTTCGGCATTTAGTACATGCACTGTCAGTTGCCCTAAGATACCATTTTTGCAGTTTCATTTAGAGAGATGGTCTCCACAAATTTCTGAAATTTAATTAAAATCATAAAAGCCACTTTTGAGAAAATCATCATTTGGCCTCTTGTGGCCCATACTTTTAGAGAAAGAATGCTCATGCTTACGGGGTAATTACCTGTGATGAATGAACTCATAAATACTGAATATGACTGAAATCTGGCCACACACGGGGGGCACGCACATGAGCTATTACAGAAACCATGGTTTTTAATGTAAGGCGGCGGGGGGGGGGGCTCAAAACATGTCTGTCAAAATTTTGAGATCAGTTTTATTTTCATAGTCACAGTACTTTCTCATATGTAATATGTATGGGAGAAAGAGAAAGTAGAAAGTTTACAGAAACTGACAGTTGCCAGAACATTATTGCAGTGATGGGTGCATGGCAGCAACTTGTTGGATATAGTAATATGATGTTAGTATTAAAGTTTTTTATGGGAAGTCAATTTAAGTTTAGCCTTTAGGGCTGTAACATTTACAGTTCTCACCCCTTTTTGAATCCATTTGTACTGATGATGCACAGTAAATCACATGTTGCCAATTTGAAGTTAGCCCATTTCAGGAGTTTTGAGTTCTCAGTTAGGTTGTGGACATTCATGTGTTTTGCAAGGAATATTTTTACTTTGACCTGGCAAATAGTTTAATAAAGAATCACCAGATAATTAACACTAACTTTTTGTTCTCAAAAAGATGGGGCTTATAAATTCTCATATTTCAGATTTCTCTCATCATGGGCCCTTGTGCAGGAGGTGCTGTGTATTCTCCAGCAATGACAGACTTTACCTTCATGGTAGAAGACACATCGTACCTATTTATCACAGGACCTGATGTGGTTAAGGTATCCTTCATGTTTGCAAATGATTATAATTCTCATATCTGTAACATACAAAGTTGATATTTAAACCAGGGGGGCACTGTGCTACAAGCTGGAAGGTCACAGGTTTGAGTCCCGATAAGATCATTGGATTTTTTCAATTAACCCAATCCTTCCAGCCGGACTACGGGCCTGGGATCAACTCAGCCTCTAACAGAAATGAGTACCAGGAATCTTCTTGGGAGGTAAAGGGCAGCCGGGGTGTAAGGATGACAACCTTGCTGCCACCTGCGTGCCGATTGTCTAGAGAAAATGTGGGAGCCTCAACCTCTCACGCCCCTTAGGCCTACATGGCCTGTTACAGGGATAGCTTTACCCTTTTACCTTTTTTTATTTAAAACAGTAGTGTTTGATGGTATCAGCCTATTTTGGAAGGGGGGGAGGGCTATTTAAATTTTAAATTAAGATTTTAATATGTTACAAGGGGCAGGGTTCTTTCAGTTTTACTGTTTTCTCTGTTGACAGTCTGTAACTAATGAGAATGTGACCCAAGAAGAACTGGGAGGAGCAAAAACACACACCACAACATCTGGTGTAGCACACAAAGCTTTCCATAATGATGTAGATGCACTCCTGCAGTTAAGGAACTTCTTGGGATTCTTGCCTCTGTCAAACAAAGATCCAGCACCAATCAGAATTTGTGATGATCCATGGTACTGAAATAAACTAATTCAGACAATAATTAATTAATGTCCTATTAATTGGAAGGAAAGTGAAGCTGTTTTCTGATTATGTTTTGAATTAAGGGAATTGAGATAGGCTGAGCAATTCTTGAAGTTAGTATCAGCTTTGGTACAATAGGCCAGAAGTGGCCGCAGTACAAGGGACTTAGTCCCACCCCACTAGCAATAAAAAAAATAGTATCAGGTTACATCTAGGTCTTCGGTTGATGAAAGTGTTGCATTTACAGTATTTCTAATATAATGTGTGACCTTCTGGTTTGTGAGGCCACACACAGTTTGGTAGATCGGTACTGACATCTCATACAAAGCTGCTGCTTCTGTCAGGGTACCCTAAAGGGTCCTTCAGAATGTTGGTACCCATCTACCAAACTACACATCACATCCTAAAAACAAACTCTGTGGCTTTAGTCTGCAAGTTAACTGTACCGACCAAGCAACCACCGCTTGTCAGTGAAGTTAGTGCCAACTTTATCAGGAGGGTGTCACATGGTTAGTTCAACGAATCCCCATGGCTGTTAAATTTGGTTTTCTAGACCAGAGTCACTTGTTTTCCATTCAAGTAGCTCCTCAGTTACCCTCACAAGGCTGAGTGGACACCGTTCCAGACCCACTACTTCTCAGAAAGTCTGGTAGTGCCGGGAATCGAACCCGGGACCTCTGGATCTGTAGCCAGGAACTCTTAACCACTAGACTACAGAGACGGTAGGAAACTCTAATCTTGAACCCTCACTGCTGTTAGAACCACAGATGTAGGCTTAAGATGAAACATGGACTTGATATACGCTAGATTTCAGTATCACGCCAGTCCATCACCAGTTGCAGTTTTCCATTTGTATCCAGTTTTACTAACCATGGTAGTTGGCTCTATGTATCCACAGACCTGGGAGCTAGTCTGTAACAGCATCTGAAACAAGTCTTCTAGCTCCCAAATTACCACTGCAGCGCATCTTTTTGTGTCACTTTATGCTTGTCTCATTTATTTTTAAACATATTGTGGCATTTTCTCGGTATTTAATAACAGAATAGGTAGGTCAGGCTTTCATGAATGTTAACTACAGCCACAATTGCACTGCCACCAATCTCCAGGTCTGGAAGTCCAATACTTGGCGAGGGATTCCTGTACATACATTTAAGAGTAAGAAGTTTCTTCTGCTAGTGCATTTTTATTTCTGATCAGAGAGAAGTGTGCAAACAAGAGAATTTTTGTGGCGAACCCATCATGAAAGAAGAAAAATAATTACAGATTTATACAAATTAATTCAAATCATGTTTTTAAAATTATATTTTCTGGTTCCTTTTCCAGGGATCGTGATGTACCAACTTTGGATACAATAATACCTCAGGAGACCACAGAAGCATATGACATGTTGGAGGTAGTCGTAAATGTTGTGGACGAGAGGGATTTTTTTGAAATAATGCCGAATTATGCCAAAAATATTATCATAGGTTTTGGAAGGATGAATGGTAGAACTGTAGGCATTGTTGGAAACCAGCCAAAATGCGCAGCAGGTATGAAACTGTTCTATTTTTTGAGCAGCCTCAGCATGCTGAGTGAGGGGGGGGGGCACATACAGAACTGTGAGTATGACACTGTATAGTAAGGTGGGAGAGTGGAGATAACATCTCCACTAGATGCAGCTGAGTTGTCAGCTTCATGCCCCATACTTTACTGCCTGAGAAAGAACCCTGGTACCCACTCAATAAGGGCCTGGGTTGAGTTAAAAGTGGCATTTAATAATCTGCCAGTAAATGTGTTACATTCCTGTCAGTTCAGAAGAGTTGGTGCATGAATAAATCCTCCCCTATGGCCCAGGGTTTACAAAATCATAAAGTTTTCAAGACATCTGTTTCTTATTAGGCTGTTTAGACATCAATTCATCAGTTAAGGGAGCAAGATTTGTGCGATTCTGTGATGCCTTCAACATTCCCATTATCACATTTGTGGATGTACCAGGTTTCCTGCCTGGCACAGGTCAGGAACATAATGGCATTATACGTCACGGAGCCAAATTACTGTATGCATTTGCTGAGGCAACGGTTCCGAAGATTACAGTCATTACTCGAAAGGTAAATACTACTGCATTATAGCATCTGATGATTTTGCCCATTTCTTCAAGCTCCTGCCGTGCAAAGTACAATTTGTATGTTTTATTTTTAGGGATATGGTGGTGCATATGATGTGATGTCCTCAAAACATTTAAGGGGTGATGTCAATTATGCCTGGCCAACTGCTGAAGTAGCAGTAATGGGCGCCAAGGGTGCAACATCAATTTTGTTTAAAGGAAAACCTGATGTTAGCAAATATGAGGCAGAGTATGTGGAGAAATTTGGAAATCCATTTCCAGCTGCTGTAAGAGGTGTGTATTTTAAAATTGGAATAGAGTTACTTTTCATCACTACTGTGTCTTCACTCTTCAAAGTAAAATTGAAATTTACCAGGGACATGAAATAGAATTATGAAATATAGAAACCATTAATTTGACAGGACTTTTGAGTGTAATAATTGTCTGCTGTAAAGGTAAAGTTGTCCCTGTATTTAACTAATTACGCACTACGCCGTGAAGGCGTATGGGGAAGTGAATGTATAGATCCACATTTTCTTGACCTCGGCACTAGCTGGAGGTGAATTGTCAGCTTCATACCCTGGGTACCCATTGGACCCCAGAGCCGGTCAGGACAACATGGAGAAGTGAAAATTATTGACCTTACCAGGACTTGAACTGCGACCCCTCAGTCATCTAGCCTGTAGCCAGTCACCATACTGACTATGCTATGCTATCCCGGCTTCTGATTGTCTGCTGTAAATTTCAATATTATCTTTTTTTCAGTTCACATTTTTATTATAATGCCATTATAGCGTTAGAATTTTGCTGTTAATATGTATGTTGAATGTAACTTTCTAAATATTTAGCAGTGTAAAAAATGTTTTGAACAGAAGTTGTAAAGAAAAATGAAAAATATTTTATGTTCAGTATCCTATTTCAGTAAGTCATGCATTTGTTGAGATACTTAAACAGTTTGAATGCAATGCATATGTTTCCAGATGTCTGTATTCACCATGGTCTCTAGATCTGGAATTATCCATACATCTCTTGCACTTTATTAGCACAGATAATTGGGAAGTATATTGTACTTTTCATGTATATTAATGTGCATAACATAGCAGTAAAAGGATTTTCCAATAATATATAATATTTCAGGTTTTGTGGATGACATCATAGAACCGAGGACCACACGTTGGAGGATCTGCCAAGATTTAGACCTGCTGTCCACCAAGAATCTAACAAATCCACGTAAGAAGCATGGTAACATTCCATTATAGGAAGAGCTTTTCAGACTGAGATGTAAGGAACTGAACAGCATCCAACTTGTAGGACAAGTACATAGATTTCCATAAAAAAACTTCCTGTAGAGGAATATACTAACATTCCATTATATAAGACTTAAATTTTTGTATATTGTATACAGTCATATGATGATATTTCAGTACCTCAGTGAAATGGAAACATTTCTGTTTCAAAAACAGAAATGTTTTATAGTACAGTAAACTGGTTATCCAGCATTGGTGGGAAATTGACTGTGCTGGTTATATGAGCAATTTCTTATAGAAGCCCAATACAGTACAGTCTGTTAAACAAGCTTGTACAGTATTAGATATGTAGTTAAAAAGACAATAAGAGTAAAGTGCATTGCACATTAACGAGTGAAAATTTCAGATATACTGTGACATAACCACAAATCCAAATGGCCTCTGTAGTACTGGGAACTGTGTAAGGGAGGATGATGGACATTGCTACTAATCATGGGTGAACGTATGCAGATCGCTTCCCCCACCCTGTATAAATGTGATATATTTGCTTTGAAGTTTTTGTCTGTTACATGAGAATTTCAGATGCTTGGATGCCAGGTAATGAGAAGTTTACTGTAACTTGAATGTGTTTTGCACATACTGCCAAGAAAAGTAAGCCATTTTATTAGGTATTTGCAGCATGTATCTTAACCTATGCTGATCAATAGCTAATACTCGTATATGGAATATTTTCCATTTATATTTTTAAGTACTGTTAATTCAAGATGGTTTCTGTTACTTCTCTGAATTGAGCATATTTCAGTGCAGAGAATGTTGTATTACTACTACAGTGAGAGATATTTTGCTGTGCCTTAGAATTTTACATAGTATTAACTAAAAGTGAAGTTGTATTATAATACTTCTCACAAGAAATTTTTCTATTCCATATTTTGAGGAAAAGTAATTTTGTTACTTACTTACTTACTCACTCATGGAGCTAAGCCCCTTCTTGAGGAGCCACCAATTCTGCAGCTGCTCAAGAATTTACCAGCATTTCATGGAACCCGAAGGTTCATCACCGTGTTCACAAGAGCCCTCCACTGGTCCCTATCCTGAGCCACATCTATCCAATCCATCCTATCTCTCTAAGATCCATTTTAATATTGTCCACCCACCCACGCCTTGGTCTTCCCTGTGGTCTCTTTCCTTATGGCTTTCCCACCAATATCCTATACACATTCGTCTCCCCCATTCGTGCTACATGACCTGCCCACCACATCCTCCTTGACTTGATCTTTCTAATTATACTTAAAGTAATTTTGTTACTTATCCAAATACAAATTTTAAGTACAATTCTCCTTCACAAACTTTGACTTTTGTTCCATATATTTATAGATGCTCATTTTAGGACAACAGAATTAATTTCTGGTAAAACTTGCACTTCATAATTGTGCCATGACCTCCTATTGCAACATTTTGGTCTGAGAAAGGCACAGCTAGTATGCATTCCTGAATAAAAGTAAAAGGCAAAGAATCTCATTTTGTACTTGGATAAATATAGTATAGTATATACTAGTGGTTCTAAATTGTATAAACTGAGTTTTGTTATAATTTAATGACAACAAATTGATATTAAACCATTCATTCAACTGTCCAAAAGAGGAAATAATATCCTCCTTAAAATTTACTAAATTAGGATTACTAACAATGATGCCGGTATCATCAGCAAACATGACTGGCTTAGCGTTATAATTAACTACTTTAGGTAGGTCCCAAACTGCCCATTAGATAATATAGCATTATTTGTTACATGTTTAGGAAGTCTTATGTATGTATATCATCTTTTCAAAAATTTTAGAAAAGTAAGTAAGTAATGATATAGGCCTATAATTTTTTATATCTTTATTGTTGCCTTTTTTAAATAATGGCTTAACCACAGAATATTTCAGTCGTGTAGGGAATGAACCGGATAAAATTGACCTATTACAAATATGATTGAAAGGAGCGATGATAAATGGAGAACTTATTTTAAGGTTTTTTACGTGAAATTTCAATATCCAAATGTATTTTTGGACTTAAGGGATTTAATAATTTTTTTAATTTCCCTAGTTGTATTATCAATTATTATATTTGGAAAGGGGTTACTGAAAACTCTGTATAGATAATCAATACAACTATTATCTTCTAATTCCTCATTGTTATTGACACTGGAAATTATATTTTCTGCTGTTAATAGAAAGTAACTTTGAAAGGAATCAGCTATAAGCTGTTGATTATCATAAAGTACCATTTATATAAACTGATTCAAACAATTTATTCCCTGATTTTTTACCTGTTACAGATTTAACAATATTCCAAGTAGTTTTCATTTTATTCTCTGAATTAGCAATTAATCTATCATAATGAAGTCTTTTAGCTGCATTAATAACCCTAGATAAGGTTCTGCAATATAATTTATAATAATTTTTAAAATTTGCATCATTATTATTCCTATACAACAAGTAGAGTTCCCACTTACGTCGACAAGAAATTTTTATACCTGGTGTTATCCAATTATTGACTTTTGTCTTAGAACTAATTATTTTTTTAATGGAAAACTAGAATGAAAAATTCTCAAATATGTGTTTAAAAAGGAGTTGAAGATGGTATCAACATCATTACCACTAAATACATCATCCCGCATTTCATAGCTTAATTGCGTTTTAAAATTAAGCAAAGACTGATCATCAAAAACTCTCATAGTTGAAGTGGTTGAATTTTTATGTTCATGAATTTGCAAGTAAATATTTCTAATAATAATGAGTTGTGCATCATGATCAGATAGACCAGTATTAATAGGAAAGACCACACACTTTCCAAATTGAGAATAGTCAATAATTATCAATTAATGAAACGAATATTCTGGCTTCTAGTTGGGAAATCAATTATGGGAAAATGATTAAAAGACAATAACAATAAAGTAAGCTGTTTTTTCCTAGGGCTATCCTGTAGGTAGTTTATAGTTATGTCACCGCATACAATGAATTCAACACCAGAGCTATAAATAGTATTTAAAACTCTATTTAGACTATTTAAAAATTGTAAAAAATTCCTAGATGGCGCTCTGTAGACAGCTACTATACAAATATTTTGCCCGGCTGATTGGAGTTTTAACAGCACATATTTCAATAATTTGATCTATACAGAATCTATCCAAATTAATATTTGAATAATTTATAGAGTTATGCACAAAAATACATACTCCACCTTTGCTTAGAATTTTCCTACAGACACAGCACCAAGGTTGTAATGATCAATAGTAATATTGTTCCTTTCTAAGGAATTCATATGGTGTTCTGTTAAACATAAAACATGTGGAAAATCATGGCATAAAGCACTTATTAACTCATCAGTCTTGTATTTTAAACCTCTTATGTTCTGATGAAAAACTCTCAAAAGTATTAGTATTAGTCTTTTGTATAAAATGATGATTATTATTGCTAAGATAAATTATATGATTTATGCTCATCTACCAGTTTATGCTTGGCAGTACTATCTGCTGAGTCTGAGATGTTGTTTAATCCTCCTGTTGAGTTTCCCTCATCCTCATCTTCCCTGGAAATGTTAAAATCTCTACCAATTACATCTGGTGAGGGATTTACCATAAAAAATCCTTCCTTCTAGTTACAGGTACATTTCTCTGCCTGACAGAGGTTCTGCGCAGATTAATTTCATCTACACCGGTTTCCTTCTGTTGTTTCCTTTGTTCATTATTTCTTATGTTCTCACTATCCATACTTACATTTACATTACCAGATAAAGTTATCATCCCTTCATTACAGCTATCTACGTTACCCAACAAAGCATTATCTATCCAAGTAAGATTGACTGGAGTTAGTAATTCTTTTCCCAGTAATTTATTAATTTGTATGGATATGAGTTTCACTACCAGAGTCTTTCCTAGAGAATTCCAGTGAAGACCATGCTTCATGAAACATTCTCTCTTAAGATTTGTTTCTAAGAGTGAGACATGGTTGTATAAAGCAGCAATTTTCTTCAATTTTCTATTAAATTCTTCAATTTCAGAATTCACACACGAAAAAGATGAAAGATCATATCTCTGAGGAATATCTAAAATTATACTATTAGTACCATAGTTCCTTTGTATAAACTTAGTAATCTGGGTTAAAGCTACTCCCTTATTATTCTTATATACATCACTGTCACCAGCATTAAGAACATCATCATCATGCGAGTGTAAATTTTGTAGATCGTCAGCCGAAGAGTTCACAATCTTTTCAGCACCAGCTCCCGGTCTAATCATACCAAAAACTTTAAATTGTGGACTTAATTCACTTCTAAGTTTAACAACACTTCCCCTGAGATGACTGTCTCCCAGCATGAGCACTTTATGCTGCACTATGCCTGTAGAGTTGGTGCTTTCTGTACTTGTAGAATTCTTTATGATGGTGCTCCTTCCATGGTTCTGTTGAAATGTGTCACCTGTATCCATTACTATTGCTCCATTGTTTAAGGTTGGTATTTTGAAACACCGTTTTCCATCTATATCTTGACTCACATGAGTTAGTCCCTGGGTACACTGTGCTTCCAGCTTGTCATTCGGGTTGCAAACCGTTTTGTTACTAACCCTACTTTGCCTTACTTCATCATAGTAACTCTTCCCCCCCTTTTTTTTAATCTGACATATTTAGTCACATGTAATGCCTCTTCATTTACAAAGTTACTTTCTCTTTTATCTTCCATAGGCTGCCCATTGTTTAAATATTCGTTCCCCTTCACAGCCATATTTTCTGCATCAACCATAACCTCAGATTTTGTGTCGCCTACTCCCAGTTCATTATATAGTAATTTGTTTATTAATTGCAACGATCTTATCTCTACAAGAGATTCTTGATGATTCACTTCACTATCAACACACTTAGAACATTAGGAGATCTTATAAACCTCTTGATTACACTTATTTATTGCATCTTGAGAACATCACGCTAGAACAATATCCTCCATTTGTTTGACCTCTTTACAAAGTAACTCCATTAATTTTTTGGCAGATTTTAATTCCATTTGAGTAATTTTCAGTTCTAACTCAAGTTCAGAACAGCTGATACATGTTACACTTGATCCATTAATATTCTCTGCCAAAATTGTAGAGCTGCTCATTTCATGTGTGTGACCGTCCGCCATATTGCCATATGCCTGGCAAATACATACCTGATTCCACGATATGTTTTTCACCCAAATTAATTCACACTCACTCGCCTTATAGAACCACCTCTAACAGTAGCCTAGAGCTAAAAACCTCTGGCTGGCATGTGTCTCATAACTCACTCCCAGGCTAGCAGTGATCTTACACCAACCTCTTAACTGTCCCAAGACTCTCTTGTAATCACAGCTGGTGCTTGTAATATAGCCTCAGCATGGACCGCATCACTTCCAACAGTTCCTTTATTGTTGTGTGTGTGTCTGTTGTATAGGTACTTATTTCACAGTTGTTAACTAGCCACAGGTCTAGATACCACAATAAGTAAAAGTGTTTTTCCTTTAAGAAAAATTTGTACAGTTATTAAAACGTTATTAACAATGAGCTCAAAGGGACCTTAAAACCTAGAACCAAGAATAAAAGAACCATGTTCTATAAAACATTTGAATGGAAATGTGTGCTGAGACAGACCACAGATTTCATTATAAATATGAAAGTGAAGCTGATACAGCCAAGATGTGATTAAATTGTGAACTGTTACTAAGTGGAACGGTAACTCATTATCCATTTAATAATGTATAAAAACAAAAGTAATTTGTTATTTCCGCTATCACCCTCACATATGTGCTAATAACTTTGTTTTTCTGTATTACATTATATCAGTTTAGTTAATTGCAACTGCTTATAATGTGATGTTATATCAAATTGCAGTGGCAATGGAATTGTGATGTTTGTTGCTGCCTTTAAGTGTAATGATTTAGAAAAAAGGGCAGTGAGTATATTGTTGCCAGATGAAATGAGAATAACAGCCATTTTCAAAATATTTTGTTGTATGCCTGTATTAAATTGTTGTTTGATATATGTACAAAGGAAAAGAGATCTATATTTCTGTTGTATATTTTAAAATTAAATACAGTATATATTTTCAGTAATATTTTTATCTTTATATTCTCCTAAAATGTTCACACAAATATTAAATGATTATTTCAGTGGCTAAACCTCTAGCATACCAACAATTTTAGGTTGGATTGCCAACCCTTTTTCTTTACCCGAAGTTAAAACGTAAAACAAGGCTCAATTACAAACACAATTATATGCACCAATGAACTATTTATCAGGGATAGGAACATGACAACTTCCTATTCTGTGCATACCAACCACACTTCACAGTTTAGCTATCAATGCAAATATTATATGCTTCTGCAAGAGACAATTTAAACACAGTACATTCTTAAATCTCTACAACTCTTACAATTGTAAGATCATATCACAGACTACATCTACCTAAAATGCAAACCTACAAATAACCTGCTGTCATTATAATGGTTTCTTATAAGAAACACAAATTATGTAGAAAGGTATTCTCTTATCTTATAATATTCTCAACAACAAAAAATACTGAATGGTGAAGATTTAAAAGACTAACAGAGGAAAAAATTTCTATTGTGTATAATGTGTTCATTTTAAACAAGGTAAGACATGACACACACATCCATAAAAGTTGATCCATCAAAGGCAGGAAAGATATATCTGTTCAGTGTTTGAAATTTAATCTGTGTATATGCTTTGTGCTCTTGGCTGTACTGAAACTAAATACAAGAACAGAGAGTCCTCTCCTTACATATACTTTTAGCAGAAGTCACAGTGCTCAATAATGAACCAATATTAGGAAATGTGGATCAGAGAATAAGTCGTAGATTTACTCCTTAGTGGTTATATTATTTTGATTATTAATATACTGGAGATTCAGTAATATTTGACCAATTCATGAAGTGCCACTGTGGAGCCTTGAAATGGGCATTATTTACAGTAAGCTAATCATATAAACAGAATCCTGTGTGAGAGTTCCCTAAAAGTTATCTAAAAGCCATGTTCATTTTTAATGAGCTGTTGAGGATGAACAATTTTTTATGTTCCCAGCATGATGATAGTGTAAAACTGTCTTTGTGCTTAACCATCATACCATGAATATGTATGGGTTGTGTTGTTACACTACGCATTCTTAACCTCAGCTGCAGATGGAGGTGAGTGGTTAGCTTTATGCTTTAGATACTCTACTGTGGGTGAAAGAACACTCAGAACCTGCTGAATAGGAGGCTGACTGGACTTCAGAGCCAGTCTGGCCATGACTGCAAAAAGAAAAACTGCTCCTACCAAGAATCAAACCCCAGATGCTGTAACAGAATTATAAGCATTAGTTTGTATTTTCAAGGTCCCAAACCTGAATCATCGTGGTTTTCACCCTGTGAGAAAACCTCACAAACAGAGCATATTAAGTTATACCTCATAATGAACTTGAGATAACATCTGTTAAAAAGCAGCTTTAGTTATCCAAGCAGAACTATGCTTACAAAACAGTTACAAACACTAACAAAGAGTATTGTATGTTAGTTTTTGTAAGTAAACGTTTTCATACCCTCCATAATGGTAAGCAATGTTCATTCATAGCATTGGTTTCCTGCAGCATTCTGTTGTGTACATTCACACACAACTCATCAGGACATGTGCATCTGTTCAAAGAATTTCCTTTGGATGTATATGTTTTTTTCAGACTAAAGAACACTTTCATATATATACTTAAGTATTGATTCTGCTTATGTAAAATTTCTTTCTTTTCTCTGTGCTCCACATGAATGGCTGGAGTTAATTTCAGCAGAGTATTTTGTTACAACCACTGAAAAAGTAGACATACCTTATACAGGGTGTCCCAGGAGGAATGTGCCAGACTTCGGGAGGGCGTTCCTTATGTTAAAGTATGCCGATATAACCCAAAACACCTATGTCCAAAATTGAACGGTTACAGAGATAATGGCCAGAGAAGTGTGAAACTTTGACAGGTGTCACACACTTGTTGATTACCAAATACATATTAAAACTGGCAGGAATATGTGGTTTCTGTAATGTTAATAATGTATGTAACATCAAACTAACTTGTGAGTGACATGAAGCAATTAAATTGAACTACAAAAAATTTGCACGCCATGTCACAGTTGTCGTTAGGGTTCCAAGCACTATACATGACACATGAACTACAAGCACTGATGTAACATGACTGACTCCACATTCTGGTATGCGGCTAGTTGAGCCGTCATCACCACACTCAAGGACAAACATCGATAAGACTTATCAGCTGACAGGTACAGAGCATGGACCCGCCAGAGGACCACACTTTTCTCGAGCCATTATCTCCATAACTGTTCAACTTTTGACATAGGTGTTTTGGGTTATATTGGCATACTTTAACATAAGGAACACCCTCCCGAAGTCTGGCACATTCCTCCTGGGACATTCTGTATATGTTTTAAAAAGTCAAGCCTGAAAATTGCTGTTTTCACAGTATGCATTTTAAAGGCTGTATGTGATAGATCAATAGATTGCAGTTCCTTAAGCTCTGCCCAAAACAAAGTATCTGAAATGGAAAGAACTTGCCACCGTTTTGAAGTTCATACAGCTTAACCCTGAATGTAGAACCTGTTGGTTCAGGTCCTCTGAAATGATTGTCTTCCTCCTTGAAAAATACATAAACCATAAAACTGTGTTCCCATAATTTCATTTAATTAAGCTTCTTCACAACTGTGATGGTCCACCACAAAAAAAAAGTACTTTCCTGTGTCTAACTATTGTGCTCGTAAAAGGGGCACTGGTTTATGTGTGTTGCTGGATACCTTGTTTTTGTATAGACTTGTTGTCACTGTTGAGAATTTAAAATTACAGGTAATATCTTTATGGCAGAACAATCCTGAATAACTGATTCACTACTTGTGAGTAAAATGTCCTCTGACCTGAGAATATAGAACATTTCATTGTTACCTAGAATTCCTAAAATATTTTCACTGTCAGAAATAAAATTACTCTGCTAAGCTTCTTGAAGTGATTCAATACTATTACATATAATATGAACATACACATCCCAAAAGATTATAATATTCTTCTACCCTGTCACAAGAACCTCAGATCTCACAATACAAATATAACTTTACAGCAATTTAATTTCCTTCTGTGATGGTTCCATCCCTACATTTTCATTTCAGTAAAGCCAACTGTGAATGCTACTCAAAATGAATCAAAATAGTCCCTTTTAGTTTTGCATTTTATGATATAAGAATGGTAGTAATGCCTAAGGATGCAAAAACAGCTTACTCATACAGAATAAATCAACAAAACATTTTATTACTACTTCATACTGACTGATTCTATTATATTCATAATTCCCGCTCTGCTGAAGTATGTTCTGCCCCTACAATTCAATGTCTACAACTTGTTTCTCGTTTTTTTTTTTTTATTATTTATTTAATCTGCAATAAATGTATTAACCTCTGAATTTTACAAATAATCCTTGAAACAAAATAACAATTGTTTTGAGAATGATTCATATTTTGGCTAATTTTCCTTCGTGATAATTTATTTTGTTTCTCTGCAGTCTCAGTCATATTGTGTGTGTGTGTGTGTTTCCTACTTACAAACTCAACCTGCTACTTTGTATAAATATAGTCACCTTGTGAGATCAGTGCCTGGCTTGAATTGCCTAGTCTCTAACCATGATGAAACTACTAAAAATCAGAAGGCATCCCATAATTATCTTATGTACAACTGCTTTATCTTGCAGACTACAATCTCACCAGTCAAGAAGGTAAGCGCTTCATGGTGTCTGTGACTGTGTAACTGTGTGCACACAGATTCATCATTTTGTAAACTTGAAGAGCATTGGTATTCAGAAGTCTTCAAAAAGTTTCTGTTCCATCTCTCCAACACTTGGTGCTGACTTCCAGTCAGCTTCAGGATAGTCATCAAAATTTCTTGTATCACCATCATAACTCACTCGAGGAACTATTGGAGGCTGAAATCATACACATTAATATGTCAGCATTTATATATTTTTCATAAACAATGTCTGGAAAGGATACATTAAAACAACTCTTGTTTCTTAATACAGGGAAAGTGGTGTTTGTATAAGACCATAACACTTCTTAAATAGAATATAAAGTTTGTTTCTCTCATTACAATACTATTCCAGCCAGTCATGAAAGATACCTGATGCTCAATTTCCTACACAGTGACGGTATGTTTCACTTCGTCTATTATATTTGTAGGTTCACAATGAATTTAACCTATGATTCTGTATCATGTACATATAGATAGATGAATTATAACTGGACTTCTGGTGCTCAGTAGTTTCTCACATATTCTTTGTGTGCGTGTGCATGCGCAAAAGCTGAGCAAGTTGGCTTTTCAACAGCTGTGACTTGTACTTGGCACATGCCCAGTTCAAATCTCAGCTGAGACACTGATTATCCTAACATTTCTTTCACTGTTTTCCTCAGTCCCTCCTAGCAAATGCTACAATAGTACCTTAAATTAGGCTGCCACCTCTTCTTTTCACATCCTTTCCAATTCATTTTCACTAATTATTTGAAACTACATACAAACAAATTGGGCTGGGATAACTCAGTATAGCAAGTGGCTATGGACTGGATGACCAAAGAATCATGCTTTGATTCCTGGCAGAGGCAACAGATTACTTTCCTTCACTTTGACCAGACTGGTTCTGGGGCCCACCCAGCCTCCGATCTCCGATCCAATGGGTACTAAGGACTCTTTCCTCAGGGGGAAGCTATATTTGACACTTCAAGGCTGTTGGTGATCTGTTTAAAATTAAATTTAATCTTCTTTATATTGCATAGTGGCATTACCTTTAGCCACGGTTGACCATGCATGTGAAATAAATGTGAAAGTTGTTAAGGCAGGCAGTCATTGCCTCTGGGGGAGCTCTTTCATCCTTCTACATTTACGTATAAGAATGTAGGAAATACCTCTAATATTACCTTGAGTTTTCTGCAGTACACATCCTGCCACTCCACTCCTTTGAACCACCTATGCCTCTTAACATCCTCTGCTCCATTCTGAAACAACATAATTTGTCTTGACAGAGTTCTTCTTAGATAAATTTACCAAAATGCAGATGCAACTTACAACTACATACCATGGTTCTGCAACTTCAGCCAATCTAAATACTCACTAAAGAAAATGATATACTTAATATAATAGCATTCAGAAATCTGTCATGGCTTCACACCTTGTTTATGCTTGCTTTAAGTGTATGTACCTTGAAAGTGTAATATTTATAATGTTAGGCATAAATTTTTATGCATTCTTTGCACAAGGCCTGGTCAAGTACATTTAAATGCTTCACCTCTAAAACAAATTATCAAGGTCCTCATTATATAATATTCTTCATCCTTATTACATCAAAAAGGTCAAAAATATTAATTTCATAACAAAAAAGAACAGCCAGATATGAAGTGCATGGAAAATAAATATTTTATAAATCTAGTGTCAGAATACATTAAATATAAAACTTACCTTCATATTTCCCAGTCTTTTTGTTCTGTCTTGGACTAGTAACTTTTTTATGAGATCTTTGGCTACTGGATCCAGATGTCGTGGCCATTCAATCTTTCCTGCTAGAATCTTTTCATAGATTCCAAATGGATTGTCATCAAAAAATGGAGGGTATCCAGCCAACATTTCATATATCAGAACACCTAAAAGTAGTTACTTAACTGTATTTATATGTATCACTACAAAACTGTTAATAATAAATTATTTATCTTTCAATGACAGTTTCTAACGAAAAAATGTTTTACTATTTGCTCTTTATGATGAATATTGACGTACATGCATTAAATAATTGCTGCAATAATACATGTGGTGAAACGTTCCAGTTAATCATGTTAACATTTTGAAAATAAATAAAAGAAAGTGTCACTTTCACAGTTCAGTGGTGCTTCATATAGTGGCATGAGGAGTAATCAGACAATGTAATGCCTGCCACCTCCAGGCAGTTGCTTAAGGCTTATGCTAGCCACTTGTGAGCATATATGCAATTACAAGAGATACAACACAGTACAGGCTTAATGAAAGGAGGTAGTGCAGACATTCCAAGCTATCACATTAGCCAAATGAAGAATGTTAATGCACTTCATGTGCTTGTTTGCTCAGAGCATGCAGACTTAGAAAACAGTTTGAACCTCTGTGACTCTGTGACAGATACTTTCACTGAAAAAAAATTCATCACATGAAACTGAAGTAAATGATGTAATAAAAAAGCAAGCTGAGTACTAGCTAACCATTTCTCCTTAGTCTACATTTCTGTCCTCTCTTATTCCTTAACTTTGTTAATTATTAGCAATAATTAACATAGTTATCTTGTAAAATGTACGTGTATATACTCAAATGTCAAAATTTTCAAGAACTCTGTATACCTTGTAAGCTAGCTAACATTTTTATAAAAATCACTCTCCCCATTAATGTACATACATACATTACATAAGTTAAATATCAATGGAGAAACATAGAAACATAATGTACATACATACATTACATAAGTTAAATATCAATGGAGAAACATAGAAACATAATGTACATACATACATTACATAAGTTAAATATCAATGGAGAAACATAGAAGATTACAATACTTACCTAAAGCCCACCAGTCAACAGCTTTGTTGTGACCTTTTGACTGGATTATTTCTGGTGCTAGATATTCTGGTGTTCCACACAGTGTCCACGTCCTTAAAATATAAATTTTGAATAGTTACATACTATTTTTATATAATTTGAATGTTAATGCAAAGGTGAGGAACATCAAAAATATATTTATTTTTCAATGGTGAAGTTCGCTGTATGTATAACACTAGATATAACAAAAATAATTTACAGAATGAATGGCTGCTACCCCTCTTTCTTGGATTGGATGACGTTTGTGATGCGATTTCCTCATTATTTGTAACTGAGAGAGAGTCAACTGAAAGTCACTTGTAAACTGGAATCTGTATTTTAAAACAAAGCCTTTGAAATTACTTTCATGCATTAATTTCACTACAGGCAGCTATTAAGAGTCTGTACACTGATCTGAGATGTTAAGAAAAGCATAATTAAATCAGCTAATTCCCTCCACCAATTTTAAGTGATGAGAAGTGGAATGGATACTGAATCTTGAGTATAACTGTGATTATATAAGTAATTATTCTGTCTTTTGCATACTGCTTACATCTTGCTTGTTTGGGTTGTCTCTTACAATTTTTCTTAATTTCTTATATGTGGATAATCTGACCAGAAGCAGTCAAGTTAAGAAGCAAATTTTAGCTTAAATATCTCATGTTCCTCATGGTGATATCCACCATGTTGTATACCCCAAATGTTCATATTAGCCTTACAGCTGGGCCATTATAAAACATATATTTAAACTACAGCATAGAAATAATTTCTTGAATATTTATCTACCTGTCTGTGAGTTTCTTGGCAAAACCAAAATCTGTAATCTTCAAGTGACCATCTCTGTCCAGTAGAAGATTTTCTGGCTTTAGATCTCTGTAGACAACAGACTGTGTGTGCAGGTACTCTAGGGCAAGTATTATTTCCGCCGTATAGAAATTTCCTATAAAAATGAAAGGCATCAGTTAAGAAAACATATATACAATTTATGAATTTTGTGGACATGAGAATGGTGGTCATTCAGTCTAAGGATTCTGGTATGGACAAGAGGAAGGTCAAGAGTTATTTTACAACACTGTAAGTTTGTAGACTATGGCATCCAACAGTAGGATGACTGATGAATTTGAAAGGATTTGAAATAAAGTAGCTGCAGCCTAATCAAGTTACAATCCTGGTATTTTCCTGCAGTGACTGAGGAAACCTATGAAAATCTCAGGACAGCTGATGTCCCAGCCATGACTTGAACCAAGCACCTCTCAAATGTGAGTACAGAGGGTTATGTTTATGCCAACTTATGGTACAGACAGAGAGAGAGAGAGACACACACACACACATTTATGAAACACATAAGTATGCACACCTCAGTGGTACATCTAAAAGGATAAAGAACATTTTTAATGTATCAATTGTATATAATAAATAATTGAAGGAGAGTCTATGCTTAATATGACATATGCCTATTAGACCACTGGCTATGTGAAAAGAACCATTCAAGACATTAAACTCACAAAGCTGTCTGATAAATTAGCAAGCCATTTTGTCATAAGACTGTTTTGTTAAAAGAAATTTATATTGCTTCAAATGAACAATGTTGATAAGCAGAACTAAAGTACAAAGTTATGTGTGACTTCAAGCTTTCACAGTGATAGTATATAATGATGTCTTTCTGGGCAATCAGCCATGTCTATGTGGAGTCTGTGTCCAACATTTCTGAGATTGTCTGTCTTCATCATCAGAGGTTGATGTGCGAACACAAATTTCACATTAACATGGCTGATGGCCCCAGAAGATTTCATTGTAAAGTAACAAGCTCTGTGCCTGAGCTCAGTGCCATAACAAATCTCCATTCACTTAGTAGAAATGAATGGTTAGCTGCACATTCTAGCCATGAAAACCCCCACTGACAGGGGTCTGAATTGGCCCAAGAGCCAATCTAGATGTGGTAATGAAGAACTTTGCTCTTACCTCAAACAGCATTCTAATGATAGAGACAGTAGGTTGATTCAAATGATCAAGGAGCAGATATTTCTTTCAACAGAACCCAACATTATGCAAGTACAGCATCAGCAAGTTAAGTTATCATTTATTGCCATGCGATTTACTCATGAAAGAGCTGATTTACATGGAGTATATTAAATGTGAAAACATGTGATAGGTGCAAAGAAGCTTTCCATCTTCATCATGAATTGGCAACAGAGCCTTCAGTAATTTAATGATTATGTACAAGGCTGTATTACAGTATTTAAGACACATACAGATAACATTTAATGAGATTTTCCTCAACAACAGTGAAAGCAGTGCTGCACTGTAATGAATTCATAGGATCAGCAAGAAATACTGTAATTGCATTCACACTATGGGAAGCAGAAGGTCAGAGACATAGCAAATTATGAAGATTGCATGCCTTACAGTTACTGGATACAGTTCAGTGTGTGAAGGAGAACTTGTGGCAGTTCTGCAAATAGACATGACAGTACAAATTCAAATGTTCATGTAAACAAGAACATGAATCATCCATTATTTACTGAAATGATATGGCTCACCACCCTGGTGTGGAGGCAGGTTAGAATAACTCCATTATAGCCCTGCAAGTTGTAGAAGGTGACAAAACGAGAACTTGGTGCTTGGAGTTATAACTGGGTCACCTTGTCACTGGGGGGAATAAATATAAAGATATGACCCTCCAGGTTGTGGGTTGAACACAAGGCTGACAACCTTATTCTATAAAAGAATTACTGTTGCGATATCCAAAGTAGAGAAAACCGGATGGTCTAACGCATAACAGCATTTTCTAAGGAAGGGCATGGCTAAAAAAGGGCTGTTTTGTCAATGGTGGTGGTCGTGGTCATGGAAGTCATGGTTGTGGTGATATGTCTGCTCCCTCATGAGTCACATGAGCAGGATGGTGCAGCACTTATGTTCTAGTCTTGTATTCAAGCAGTAGCTGATTCAGAGCTAGCCTGAATTACTTGTTATGCAAGAAATCATGTCTCTCAGCCTCTCCATGTGAAAGCAGAGAAATAACACTGAAACAGGCCATGACCACATCCTTCCAAATCCTTACTTATTACTTCAAAATGAAGAAATATGTTCTACCAATATCACTTATGTCTGGAGAGGATCACGAACCTTCAGATTTCCACAGTCCTTAACACCAGCCTGGAATAGCATGTTCATGCCCATTCAGTTCTAAGTTTTAATGTACTCTGGTAGCAAACACAAGGACTTTGATNCTTTCCATTTGTCACCCTCAAATCTGTTATTCAGCAACATTTGTAACACTGTGATTTAAAAGAAAATAATCAGAAAAATACACATTGTACACTTCCTCTCATATCCATTCACACTGTTAACAATTTCTGCAAACTGTATTTATGTCACATTCATTATATTGAAAACAGTGTCTTTCTTCAATTCAATATTACAATTTTGATCACCCAGACTAAAAAAAAAGTAATAAAAATACATTACAATTTAATATTTTTTTGCCATTAACATTGCAGTTAAGCTGTGAATTCTATCTGCCCTGCTACTCAAGGATGGCAGATTCCTTCAACTCTAAATAAGAAGTAACTGAGAATACAATGACTCCATTTAATCTTTTCCTTAGCAAATCATTTGTTAATTTAGCAGTTGATATTATCAATATCCATCATTTTCATTTGTTTCATTTTTTAAACATAAATGTTTGTTCTCAGAAACAGAGAGTTAACCAGACATCAAATTAAAACTAAGCATCAAGAGGGGCAACCTTAGTGTATTTGTATATCTTTTTAATGCTGGACTGCTGACTAGAAGTCAGTACACATCCAGAGGGCCTCATGGCCTTGTGGTCGACCATCTTTTTGTAAGTTCTTTCTGATTTTCTTTTGCCTTTAAATGAATGCTGAATTGTTTTCCTACATCCATTTTGTTATATGATTCTTATAACGAAAACCTCCCAATTTTAAACATCAAAATATATCTCTGCCCTGAGGTGTTTCAAATTTAAGAGCACTATATCTGTTCAAAATTCAACATAATTTTCATAGCAATTATTAAATTCTGGCAACAAAAATTAGAACTGTGTTTTTTCTCACAGTTCCTAGTATGATTAAGAGTCGGGATAGTGTAGTCGGTATACTAGCTGGCTACGGGCTGGATGACCGAGGGGTCGGAGTTTAAGTACTGGCAGGGTCAAGAATTTTCTCTTCTCCATCGTCTAGATCGGCTCCGGGGCCCACCCAGCCTCCTACCCGATGGGTACGGGGGATTTTGCTGGGGATAAAGTGGCAGGGCTGTGAATCTGACCACTCACCTCTAACTAGTGCCGAGGCCAAGAAAATGTGGATCTATACATTCACACTCCCCCATATGCCTTCCTGGCATGGTGTTTAATTAGTTAAGCACAGGGATAAAGTTACCTCTTTTCTTATTTAGTATGATTAATGCAGGCTACACTAAATATTATATTAATATGCTGCTGTTGCGATGTTAACCCCTCATAACTAACCCTTCTAACATTTCTGCCTATATGACAGAGGCCAAGTGTGGAATGCCTGTAAGCCCTCTAACAAGTAGATGCTACTTTTCCGCCAATAAAACTGCTATAACTGGCCAGTACCTGATCAACCAAAAACTGAAGTTTCTGTCCAATAAGGAATTCTTAGTTTTTAGTTTATTTTCTTGGGGTGGTGGGAGAATATCTGTGGGTGAGACTGAGTCCGCTTGGTATGTCAGCCACTAATTGGCCTATTGTATCAGCCCCAGATAACTGAGTATGGAGGATTTGGTGGAATGAGAACTGGTAGGAGAAACCGAACTACTAGGAGGAAACCTGCCCCAGTGCCACTTTGTCCACCACAAATCCCGCATGACTTGACCTGGGATCGAACCCAGGCCGCCTGGGTGGAAAGCCGGCGACTAATTGCCTGAGCTATGGCGTGCATCCTAACGAATGCTTACTTTTTTACCTCGTACTTTGTCAGGTGCTGGCTGTATACTCACAAATTAACGATGAAGGGGTGCCGTATTTCTTGCAAAATGTTCTTCTCGTTCTTTACGTGTTCCACTTGTTTTAGCCTAATAACGTCACTGATGGCAAGAATCTTCATTGCGCCGTACTTCTTGGTGGACCTCTCACGGCAAAGACACACGCGTCCGAAAGTGCCTGTTCCTAAAACAACAAACACAGAAATTTTGGCTTACATACCACGAAGATCAAACTTGGTTACTGGTAAATGTGTCCCTATACTTAATTAAGCAAGCGTAGCCCGCCTCTGTGGGCTAGTGGTCAAGAGTTCCTGGCTACAGATCCAGTGGTCTCGGGTTAGATTCTCGGGGCTACCAAATTTTCTGAGAAGTAGTGGGTCTGGAACGGGGTCCACTGAGCATAGTGAGGATAATTGAGGAGATATTTCAAGGGAAACAGCGGCTCCGGTCTAGAAAACCGAGATTAACGGCCGTGGAGATCCATTGCGCTGACCGGGTGACGCCCTCTATCCGCAAAAGTTGGCACTAACTTCGCCGACAAGGGGCGGTCGCTCGGTCGGTATAGTTCGGTTGCGGACTATAGGTTACGGATTTTAATGTACGCGTATGAGGCCTCACGCCCGGCAGCTTTATCCACGGGAAAGAACCCCCACGGTAACCACTGGATAGGAGGTCGGATGCTCTCCACAGCCAGCCTGGACGCTGTGGTGAAACAGAAATCTCTAACCCTGCTGGTAATCGAATCTTTCTCAGTCGTCCAAGCAATAATCTAGCCTCTATGACGAATGATCTGTCCCAGTTCCCTTCATTAATGTGTACATTTAAAGCGGTAAATACATGCACTGCACTCTCAATTGCCCAGTATATTATAAAGTGTATCTGAACACTTGTGGATCTTAATATCAGATTTTCCCAGATGCAATATATTGTTGACAAGGCCAATCAATATAAGTCATTTTCCTTTTAGTTCGTTTAATCCATACTTATGAAAGCTAGTGTGCGTGTG